TATTAGTATGTGTTAATATTATATTATATATATATATTTATATATACTATTATAATATATTATATATATATATTGTAATGTATATGTATGTATGTATGTTTATATATATATATTGTATGTATTATAATATAGGTATATATATATATATTAATATATATATATAATATATATGTATGTATTTTTTTTTTTTTTATGGCCTATATGTCATTATGTTATGTGTATTTCATATATCATATGTGTGTTTCATGTGGTGTGTATGTATATATATATATATATATTATATGTATGTAGTTATATATTATACTATATATATATATATATATTATCATATATGGCATTCCACATGACTGTATTAATATTAGAGTACTATACGGCAAGTTTCATACGTAGTAAATACAGCCAAGGAAATTACACTGCTTGACATCTATTATTGTTGTCCACTAGGACGCGCTCACCTGGTTTATTTATTCATTCCAATAAAATGTAATATACTGCATGTATATGTAGTATAATACTTCAACATATAACTTCAATAAGAAATGTGATGAGTGATCCAAGTGAGCATTAACATCAGAACAAAAATTTGAGTATTAGAATATATAAGTATAAAATTATATATTAAAAAATAGTACAGTTGAACCACTTCCAAACTGAAACATCAGATGTGAAAGATTATGGTTAAACTGTTTTTTGTTTTTTTTTTCCCCAAATGATATTCAATCAGCAGACATGGTCCAGCCAAGTATGTCTGTATATGCTGGACGAGCAACCTTTTCCAGGTTAAAGTGTGTGTGTTGTTTTCAGGAACTGATACTTTCTGAGAATGTCTGAATATGGGTTTTAAGTATATTTCTGCACCGCTCATGCCACCCTATGTCTGCTTCCTTTGCGCTAGTAAAGGGCAACATGAGGTAACTACTTACTGCTTTACTCTATTGTAATAGAAATAGTTGATCTATTTGTTTTCCCTTCTTACCATCTTAGATTTGTGTAGCAAGTGACTGACAAGGTTCTTACATTTGTGTTGTTGTAAAACAGAACAAATGATGCAGAAGGAAAAAAAAGCATGAATGTAATCATATCAGAAGGTTTAAATCATTTGAGTTTTCTTTGTGTGAATTTCTTTTTGCAGATGCTGTATTGCCAAGTATGCTGTGAGCCCTTCCACCAGTTTTGCCTTGAACCAGCGGAGCGCCCCTCTGAGGAGAACAAGGAAAACTGGTGCTGTCGTCGCTGCAAGTTTTGCCATGTGTGTGGCAGGAAAAGCAAGCACTCAAAGGTATATAATTTTAAGCCAAGTACATGAAACATAAATGTCATATTTCAGTCACATTTTCGACCATTTGAGGTGTGACTGGTGCTCTTTTAATTACGTCTTCTCAATGTACCCTCTCCTTTTGGAAAGGTGACTGGAGAAATAGTGGTCCAAACTGTTTGCCTTGATGTACTCAACTTCTGGTATTTAGATAATAGATTTGGATGGACATGTAAACAAATAAAATGTGAATTAGGCACATTTCCATCAGATGGGTTGAGGCAAATAAACTTCTTCCTGAGCACAAGGTTTTAATGTCAGGGGAAAAATGTGTGAAAAAGAGGTTGTCTGTTGTTTTAGGGTATATGAGACTATATTTCTTGCTTTCCGAAGCTATATGACAAAAAGATGACAAGAAAGATGCCAATAATGGCTTTCTTGATTTAAAACATAGTCTCCCCTCCAGGTCTAGCAGGGTCATGCTGGACGTCCTCCTGACAATCCTTTGCTGCGTAATGTCAGCATGTTGAAACCCAGAATTGTTGTGAAATGTAATCAGCTGATCTCTAATGTAATATCCACTCGTTACTCATTCATTACTCATTTATCTTTTACTTGACCAAGGCTTTTTTCCGTCACTTGGATGGATGGCTTACACACCTACTTTTTTGTTAAACGTAAAAGTTTTAAGGCAAGCTATTTCAAATAAATCTATGTGCAGCAGAAACATTGTTTCACAACACACTCATATGCACACTATTTAAGGCTTAATGGACATTCGTTTTGCCATTGACCACATCATTTAGATGAGTAGCCATTGAGATTGACAACATGGATTTAAGCCTAGTTGCAAAACAACACAACAGCACCACTATAGGGGTGCTCGGATAGCTTACCTGGTAGAGCTGATGCCCCATTTACTAGTCCTTGCTCCAGCGAACCAGTGTTCCAATTGCACCTGTGGCCCTTTGCTGCATGTCAACCCCCCCCCCCCTTCCCATTTTTCTGTATTAATGTAGTTCAGTCAGTAAGAATTAAACCTTTTAATGTCTCCCTCAGCCATTGATGGAGTGTGAACGATGCCAGAACTGTTATCATACTTCCTGTCTGGGACCCAACTATCCAAAACAAAACAAAAAGAGGAAAGCTTGGGTAAGTTACCATCACTTAAAAAGAACAAAAAAAACCTGAGGTTGGAATACATTGACTGCTGTTCCTAATATGATGTTTTCTGTGCAGGTTTGTATGACATGCATCAGGTGTAAAAGTTGTGGTGTAACTCCAGGGAAGAGTTGGGATACTGACTGGAACCACGACAAAGGACTTTGTCCAGACTGTTCAAAACTCTATGAACTGGGTGAGCGTTAAACCTTCACTACATTTGTAAATCTGTCTGCTCCTTTATTACTGATCTATGTTGAGTCTAATCCCTTCTGCATGCATCTCTTCTGATAGGGAACTACTGTCCAATCTGCTTCAAGTGCTATGAGGACAATGACTATGACAGTCAGATGATGCAGTGTGGCACCTGTAACCATTGGGTACATGCCAAGTGTGAGGATCTAACAGGTGATTTTTATTCTTTACCTTTTTGACAATGAAAGTAGGAAGTGGTGGCTTTAAAGCTTTTGTGCTCATTAACACTAGTGAAGCCATATCAAATGACATTACATTATGAAGGTTTTTGTTCTCAGGTGTTTTTACTTTTATTTGCATAACTTGAAACGGAGCAGGGAAGGAAAAAAAGCTCGCAACTACTTATTACCCATTACTTGCTTATCATGCATACAAAGTCCTGCTTCCCACACATGCAGTAAGTGCACATGATCTAGTGTAAACATTTTCTGTTGTGGGTTCCTGTTTTCTTTAAAACGCATCAGAAATGCTGTAGGTATGTGCACAGATTTTGGTTAGAAATCCAATGCTTAATTCCTGTAAAATTGTTTCAGATGAGCTGTATGAGATCCTGTCCAGCTTGCCTGAGAGTGTAGTGTATTCGTGTCGGCCGTGCAGTGTGACCCAACCGAGTGCCTGGAGAGAGCTGCTCTACATTGAGCTCAGGGCTGGCGTGGAAAAAGTTCTGGCTTGCTTGCTTTCCTCAACCCTCACCCAGCACCTTGTTACCTGCTCACAGGTAGAACTCTTACTCATTTTCTTTTTTATGAATCAAATGTACCATGTGACAAATAAGACAGTCACGTGATCTGTTTATGTTAGAGTACTAGCAAAAACTTAGTTTAATTAAATGCAATCACTAGAATATCTATCTTTATTAGCACTGGTGTGTAGTCCTGAAGCTGAATGAAATAGTGTCTAATATATGCTTTGGTTTCTGCTTCAGTGTGAGAAGTTGGTTGATCCTGACAGTGGTATAGAAGGACAGCCAGCCTGTGACCTCCGAGCTGTAGGCAAGAAGTTTGACAAAGGCCTTTATACCACGTTGGTGAGTACACAACTTCTTATTCAGTGTCTTGACCATTGTTTGACCTATTTTGGAAAATAATGTCTGTGCTAATTTTATGGGGCTTAATGGAGATTAACTTCTAAATTCCAGGAAGGGTTGAGAGTTAATTTAAAGGCAAGAAAACAAAAAATAAAACTCGTAGCATAAATCACACGTATTCATTTTCAAAAGGAATAGTCTATGTATTTGGCACTATTTTCTCCGCCCACTGTAACATATGGTATTGTGGGATGGTGGTCACATGCTGTATGTTAAGAATGCTAATATATGCAACCTAATGGATTTAAAAAATATATGTTTTTTTATAGAAAATGTTCCATGAAGATGTGGTTCAGGTGGTGCGAAAGAGGCTTGAACAAGAGGAGGATCTTCCCGAGGAGCAGAGACCCACTGCCCTAGCACGCTCTTACTACTTAAAGGTGCTGTATGACCAAAACAATAATCCAGAGATTATTGAGAATTGTATGTAAACATGTTTTTTGTTTTACTAATGGGAGTGAAGAAACTGCAGAGTGAAGTTATATAATAGTTTTAGAAAATGCAGGTGAGTTAGCATTTGTAATTGACTGATATGATTTTTCTCTTTAGCTTCTCGAGGAGGTATTTAATTGGTTCAACAGCCAAGACCCAAAGGTGTGGAACCCTTGTACCAAAGACTTGCCCATGTGAGTAATAGTTTCCGTTGACTGGCATACAAGTGGATATTCATTTGAAAGTGACTCTTTGCATTCATGGTTCATGTAGTGAGCTCAAGGCTCTAGAACTATGTAAACATATATAAAAGTACAGTTCTGGTTTTCTTTGACATCAAAAGAAATATTTATTCACTTTTGAACTCTTCAAATTTTTTTTTAAATAGGGGGATGTTGTCCCATGCTGTTCATCCTCCTACAACGGAGCATGTTTATGCCCAGTGGCAGGAGAGGGAGGAGCTCTTGTCCATGGCTCCGCTGGGGCTCTTGCAGGAGGACAATGTACAAAGCTTAGATGTAAAGGAAGAAGAGGCAGTCTGTCCGATGTCTGGGGAGCCAACAAGCCGGAACCACTTCAAAACCAGCAGGGCTGTCAGGCTCAAATTAAAAGGTAATGCTGTCAATTCAGGAGATATGATAACACAATTGGCAAATTGTATTATTTTTATTTATCTTCTGCAGTGTTGGGCCTTTAAATCTAAATTTTTCTACATTTATATAGGGAAAAGGGGCCGGCTTTCAAAGGCTGATTTAGACACTGGATGGTCTAAAGATGATGAGAGACAGTGCTCTTTGTGCCAAAAATATGGAGATCTCAAACCTAATGTAAGTAACATGAAAATAAACAGTTCATAGTACACTGTAAATACCCAACTTAGAGAGTAAACTGCTTGTGAATAGTATACACACAGTATTGATTTGTTACTGAATGTCTTTGTGTTCTTGTTCCATAGGAAGCAGGCAGGTTGCTGTACTTGGGCCAGAATGAGTGGGCACATGTCAACTGCTGTCTGTGGTCAGCTGAGGTGTTTGAAGAGGAGAATGGCTCTCTACTGCATGTACACAGTGCTGTCACAAGGGGCCGCTTGATGGTTAGTTGTTAACCTACCCTATGAATTGCTTTACCTGTTTAATAATTAATTTAATAATAATTCTTACACAATATTACTATGAATCTTGGTTTGATTGCTTGCAACTAAACACCAAATACAACTAAATAGATTTTGATATTTGAAAGTGAAAGAAATCTGGTAATAGATCAGTCGGGTTATACTTGTATAAAGTCAGGGTATTACAACTATCAATTTAGAATGTATATTTGTTTACATGTCCATCTTTTACCCCCATCAATCCCAACCCCCCCCTTAGCGGTGTGAACGCTGCAACCAAACAGGTGCCACAGTGGGCTGCTGCCTGACATCTTGTCAAAGCAACTATCACTTTATGTGTGCCCGCTCCCGTCACTGTGTGTTCCAGGACGATAAGAAGGTCTACTGCTACAAACACCGACATCTCATCAGTGGCAGGGTAAATTATCCTCTCCTCACCGTATCATTTCAAAGGTTTGGAATTTGATTCTGTGTTTCATTATCACTTACTTTTCTTTTGTTGTATAGATGATAACTGGTCAAGAATTTGAAGTAAACCGCAGAGTGTATGTGGATTTTGAGGGCATCAGCCTTCGCAGAAAATTCATGACTGGACTGGAACCAGAGTTAATCAACGTGATGATTGGTAAGCACCTTTCTTTTAGCTGGTGTCATATTTACTCCCTGGCATTTACTAATATGAGCCTATGTGTAACTAATAATTGGTATCCACATTGTCACCACACAGGCTCTTTGCAGATAGACAGACTGGGTGTGCTGACAGAACTTTCAGCCTGCAAAGGAAAACTGTGTCCTGTGGGTTTTCAGTAAGTTGCATTTCATTTTTTTACTTAATAACTTAATTATTATATAAATAATTGTATTATATTTGCAACATAGAATGGAAAGCACTTTTAGAACATTTTGTTTTGTTTTGCTTTCCTAAGGTGTTCTCGTTGGTACTGGAGTACAGTTAATCCATTGCGCCGGTGCAAATACACATGTACAGTCCGGGAGGTTCGACCCGTTGTCCCTGAGAAGCCAGTTGAGGAGATGCCTGACCAAGGAGACAATCACACCATTGCTCACAGCCCCTGTCCACTACCTGGTGCGTGTTTTACAACTGACTAACTTAATGTAAATCTATAGATAAAGACACTAACAGTTTCATAAATTGCATTTATGAATCATCAGAATCTGAAGTTCCTGAGACTGATGTAAGAGAACCCCAACCCCCAACAGAGGAAACCTTTGTCCCAGGACCTCCCCCCAAGTCAGATCATGGTGCAAGGCCAAAGATTCCCACCTATCCTCAAACCCGGAGACCAGCTGGAGGAATGTCCCGACCTCTGCCATCCCCAGGTAAATATAAATTCCTCACAGGATTTTTTTTTTAATTTACTAACAAAAAATAGGCCAAGCCAATGAAAAGCGCTCAAGTAGTGGACACATTCTCTTTTTTATCAGGATTCGTACAAGGTGCTTGATGTGCTGTGATATCTTTAAAGAAATCCCCTTAGTTTAGAGTGCTTAAAAAGTCTATACTTTAAAGTCTTATATTTTGACCAAAGCGTTGTCCATGAAGTCACTAGAATAAAATTGCCCGGGTAAGATATTGCTCAGCTTTTTCTTTTTTTAAAATTCTGACGCATCACCGTCTAAATAACTTTTAATAGTCACCCAAAAAGCAGAACAAAAATATGAATCATGTTTTTTCTTCCTAGGACTAGGCCAGCTGAAACCTCACCACATATTAACCATAAGTGACCTGGAGGACACTCGACGGGTTCGACGCCACAGCCCACACTCACAGACAACAGGCCCTCGTGGTCACATGTCCCCCCCTCCTCTGGGCCCTCTGACTGGACCAATTACCCTCCGTGCTGGAAAATCTTCCCTTCCCACTTCCCCACAGTTCCCACTTGGTGCTACAGACAGCCTGATAAATTCTCCATCATCCCGCCCAGTCGGAGGTAGAAGTGCTTCCTCAGTCCGATGCCCTGGAAATACAATGACCCATTGTACCTCAACTTTTTTTCCTCAGTCTAGCTGGCAGGACAGTGCGGGTAGCTTTCCCTCACCAAGTCTATCTTTCTCTTCACCCATACAACATCTACCCAGAAATCGCTTGTCATTTGACCTGAACCAGTCAGACTCGGTCGAGGTGCCGCACAATTTTTTAGCGTCACCAGAACCTGAAGATGTCTCTCCAGCAAATGGTACGTCACCACAGGGGGACTTAGACCAACAGAAGGGTGAAGAAGAATTTCCCTACAGTTCATTCCACAAGGACCCTAGCATGAGTCTCGGCCAAGAGATGAGGACAGAGTTGGAGATTGAAGAGACACTCCTGAATGAAGGTGTGGCAATGAATTGTGGGGGGCAAATAGTGGTGGAAGGTGATGATCAGGAGGAATTTTGGGAAAGAGCCCCAGAGGTACACAAGAAGAAGACTCTTGTTGCCAACCTGCCACGGTCTGCAGCCTCAGCCAGGGATGATGTAGGCAACACCTCATCTGATGATGATATGGAGCACTATTTTGACTTCTCGCGGACAATAGTCAGCTGCCCCGGATCAAAAGATCATTCCAAGTCTCCGTCCTCCCCTTCCTCCCGGTCTATGGCTCAGCTGGATGGTGTAGATGACGGTACAGAGAGTGATGCAAGCATTGCGACTAACGACGATGTTCAGAAAGTTGAGGGTGCTAGTCGAGCTCAGATACAAGCCAAAAACCTAAATAATAAAAATGTTGCAGAATCGGAAACTACAAACGGTACACAGGCTGTTCAGTGTCTGTTCCCTCAAGCATCATCCAATGATAAGCACACAGATTCGTCTTCAGTCACCATTTCAGTTGCCAGCAAAAGACCTACAGATAGTTCACCTCATGCTCCACCTAAATCCAGTCAGTCAAATGAGGACAACATGGGATTTATTTCTCCACGCATTTCCAGAAACCCTCCACTTGAAGAGCAAAGCTCTGACACTCCTTTAATAAATCAGGAGACCGTGCTTCCTACTCCAGTTCATGATGCTCTGCCAAACTTACTCACAAAGGTGCCTGAGACCTCGTATTCAGAGGACTTATTCCAGGGTTCCAGTTTAGGATTTGCCTCTGGAACACCCCTTGTTCTTGAGAGATGTGATGCTAGTCCAAATTTAACTGAGATGGTTCCTTTGCTAGAAGGCACAGCGCTTGAAACCCAACAATCCGAAGCTCGTAAACCCCTGAACTTAGAATCTGGCAGCAGCCACTGTGTGTCATCAGCTGAGGGGTCTGCTGTATTAATGAACCACTTAACAGCTAATGCAATGGAACCATCATCAGCAAATTCAGCAGATAACAGTCAGGGTGCCCTGTTGGATCTTCTTCAACCTTCCCCTTTAATGTCTACAGATGTACCAAACCCTTCTCAAGGCCTTGTAGACTCTCTGCAGATGTATTCCTGTTTACCAGGTTTCAGTCACCCCCCTCTAACAAGTATCACACTTCAGCCAGTAACATCCTCGCAAGAGTCAGCAACCTTCCCATCTATGGAGCCAATGTCTACTAAACTAACCACCCTCACTACTGTGAGTGACGTGGCGCAAACACTGCTAAATGTTGCCCCTCAAAATGATCCAGTGTTATCAGTTACATCGGGCACTTGTCCCCCAGCAGGAACTTGTGGAACGGTCACTCTGCCTATCTACTCCACACAAGCGCAGCCATTGGGTTCTACAGCTGTCACCATCGTTTCTTCCTCTGCGTCGATATCGTCCCTTTCTGGACTGTCAACACTGTGTTCAGCTGCTCCAACAACAGTCCATACCACCTCAGCCCCCGTTATATTAAATGGTTACAGCTCTTCGTCTGTGCAGAAGGAAGCTACATCTGGGCACACCATCTCGATCAACTTTTCTACACCCAGGCCAGCTTTAGAACCTCAACAGCCAGTGGTTCCCCAGGCTTTGCCCGGACATGCTATCCTTACTGTGAAGGAGGTGGGTGGTCCAAATGTGGATCCTACACCACATGTCCTGCTGGTGAACCGCCTTGGACAGATCTTTGTGAAGAACCCAGAAAGTAATACTTTTCAACTGCCCACTCCCAACTCCCCCTCTTACAACTGTGTCACTCAGATTGCCAGCCTTTTGCAAAGCAATGCACTGTCAGCCACACTAGCAGCAGCTGGTAATATGACGGCTCCACCACCTGGGGCCAACATAGTAACAGCAGTTCCTCCGTCGGTTACACCTACAGTTCAGAATCCAACCACAATTACACAGCTGCTTACTCACAACAGCAACGGTGCAGTGGCATCAGTTAATGTGAAGAAGCCAAGAAAGAATACAAAAACATCAAAAGATGAACCAGTTCCAGAGTTGAAAAAAACAAAGAAAAAGAAGGAGTCTAGCACATCCAGAAAATCCAAGTGCTCCAAAGCCCCAGCGCAGCCTGCTCTGTCAACTGAGAATCCTCCCATGACTCCTGCTGAAAGCGCTCAAGCAATTATCAATCAAGCAATGGCAAGTAACTACACTCCCAAGTGGAGTGGGCTTCGAACACTCAGCCCTTCCTCACTGGTATTACCACCTGGCCTGTTAATCGAACCGGAACCTCCAGTGTTGCCTCACTCGCCATTACCAACACCAGCACCAGCTCCTGTATCCCGCCCTCGCACCCACGTCCGCATGAAGAGAGTGTCTTCACTTTCAGACCGTATTGTCACAAAGAAATCTAAAGTTGACTTCCTACAACCAGAGCCCATCAGTAAGGACGAGGAGCGCTGCAGACCTACCTTTCCAAGCATCTCCAGCAGGGCTTCAGGAGTCCGAATCAAGACCCCAACAGTGAAAGGAGTACTGAACCTGGACGAGTTAAAGGAGGAGCATATAAGCGATTCTGATAGCTCAGGGTAAGATTTTACTTTACTAGATTTTTACTTACTACCTAAACAGGGCTGCAACTAGAGCTTGGCTATAAATCGATTGAATTGATAAACTCGAGCTTGAATTTTAAAATTTAAACTATGAATGTTACAATGCGGTAATGTACAGCCTCTGAACAGAATGTATAGAATAAGTATCCCATATGAGAAGAAAGGGCCCCAGACAGCTTACCAAAGATAAGATAATGTTTGTTGAGAAGAAAAAAAAGATTTAAATCATACACTGAGTGTGGTGTAAATAAAAAAAATCTGATTTTATTTTTAGGACATTGCCTAGCCCTAGGCAACAGTTTCTTTTATTATTGATTTAATTGAAAGAGTAGCAGCAAATCCTCTCATTTGACAAGCAAGCATATTATCAAAAGCTTTTAATCCACTAATAGACCAATTGATGAAATAGATCAGCTCAAATGCTGGATTTAATATACGCACTAGTAAGAGTGGTGTAAGTGGAGCTTACTATGGTTCATCTGCAAATAATTTATTTTGCACCACTGACAAATGATGCTGTTTTTTTAATGGTATATTTTTGGATTTGCTAGACAAGCACAGTGTTTTACATTGAATGCATTTGGTTAGTTTTGTGTTTATAAACATTTGTACTCTCTTATCTTCCTCAGATCCGAGCCTTGGGATTATATGTCTCGTGGCGAACAAGGCAAACCAAATGCTTGGGAACCAGTGGGACACAGCACCCTGACTGACTGGAACAAATACTCTGGTATTTTTACATTTTAGATGTGTAACTTAATGATCTCTGTGAATTGCGAAATAATTCGGTTTAGCAACATTCGCGTCATATGGTATGAAGTAAAATGCTCTTTAACTCAGCTAAACATGTTCATTCATGAATAGTGTGAAAGACTGTATAAATTGTGTTTTGCTAGGTGCTGCTTCTACCTCAGATGATGAAACACCACCGTCAGGGGAGGATGAGGAATGTCCAACCAACAGAGACCAGCCACATTTAAAATTTGAGATAACCAGTGATGATGGTTTCAGTGTAGAGGCAGACAGTATTGAGGGTAAGGCTAATACTGCATGTTTCCCTCAAAAGCCTTCAAATTAAATTGTTGATTTGAAAAAATAATGAAATAAGTTTCTGGATATGTTTTTTATTCACTTTATAACACCGAATTATCAAATCTTCCTTCAGTGGCTTGGAAAGCAGTGATAGACGGGGTGCAGGAGGCACGAGCAATTGCAAGGTTACGACCTCTGACCTTTCGGAGGATCACCGGTGCTTCTATGCTGGGTCTGGTCCATGATGCCGTGGTGTTCTTGCTTGAGCAACTTCAAGGAGCCCATCGCTGTCAGCGCCATAGCTTCCGTTTCTTTAAACAGTTCAGCCAGGAGGACGACCTTCCTGTCAATCCAAGTGGTTGTGCACGCTCTGAGCTGTACCTTAGGTATGTAGACTGTCTATTGTCGAATCCTTTTCTTTTTCTTCTAAATTTGAGTGAAAACAGAGATGAAGTCATTTTAAAAAGTGTGATGTTAACTTTTTTTTTTTTTATGAGTTGATTGTAGTATCCATAACCATCCAGACCTGATATTTATTTCTTTCTCTCAACAGGAAGTCTACATTTGATATCTTTAACTTCCTGGCTTCTCAGCATAGACAGCTTCCTGACATTGGGCCGTACGATGATGAGGAAGATGAAGTTCTTTTGAAGTCTACAAGGTCAGGTTTCACAGAATTGTAGATTTTTCCTGGGATAAAATGTCTCAACACTTTCCAAAGCACTGCTATTTCCTTCTGAAGTTTCCAACTTACTTTTGGCTTTCTTTTTATGAGAGCTGGTATTGACAGTGGAATGGTGATTTTTTTCTAAATTATCATCTGCTCTTCATTTAGACGAGCTACTAGTTTGGAGTTGCCCATGGCCATGCGCTTCAGACATCTGGAAAGGACATCCAAGGAGGCTGTAGGCGTGTACAGGTCAGAACAAAATGACATTTGCTAAATCTATGCATGCTATGTTTTTTTTGTTGGGTTGTGGTCTAGAAGGACCGCCAAGGGACAAAAACTTTTGGGTTTTAATATATTTGGTGAAAATTAAATTCTAAAGCAAGGAGTTGCAGTCACCCTGTGGTTACAATAAAACCACAGTGCAAGAAGGTTTAAATAAAAGAGAGGACGATCAGTGCCTTCTGCATGATAAAAGCCAGCAATTCTCTTAATGATATATATAGCATATAATATGGGTGATTCAAATCACAGGGCTATCAATATGAACAAAGACATGTGCTGTGTCTCAATTTGAATACTTCCATACTATAGCTATTTTGACACACTGCCGAGTGTGGTGATGAAATCCATATGCATTGTGTACTACACAGAAGTATTCAACTTGAGACAGCAATAGAATCCAGATCACAGCCATTCAGAGCCAAGACATCACCATGTCCACATTCCGGGCATATACAAACCAACATTTGCAGAATTTGTCACAGTAGATAAGTGCTTGTGTCATTTTACTGCACTGCGTTAAAAGTGTTTTGGCAGTCTGCAACTGCAATTGCTTCAAGAACGGATAAGTAACTTTGGTGTGTCCAATCAAATGACGTAACTAAGCTGTGGCTCCGGCTTTCACATTGCTCAAAAACAGCTGTTACTCAGATAAGTTGGAGTAAGACTCCACTGCTGTTCTATCTGGCTTTAATTACATACAGTGGTCAAGTCAATATGAAAATTTTAGTATGTTAGTATACCAACATTTGCTATTTAGAAGTAAACACAAAGTACAGCCGAGGCTGATTTGAATGTATAGTGCAGGTAACAGTTTTGCACGTATTGGGTTATAAACCTGCGTATTTGACAAAATATGAAAAGATTTTTGACCACTATTTTCTGTTAGACATGTTAGACGTGTCTGTGCTAGCCCACTTGTAGCCCACCGTTTCAATGACATCATAATGAAATCTCTTATTTTTCGCAACCTTTTTGCTCAAATGATTCAAGTTACTGTATTTCAGCCCATATGGGAAATGTCACATACCAAATCCTAAATTGCACCATTCCAGACTCCACGCCGCCACAATTGACACATCATCATTTTGTGTGTCTGTTTCAGGTCTGCTATCCACGGGCGCGGTCTCTTCTGCAAGAGGAACATTGAAGCAGGGGAGATGGTTATTGAATATGCAGGCATCGTCATTCGCTCAGTGCTCACTGACAAAAGGGAGAAGTACTACGATGGCAAGGTTAGTGGGGTTACTGTTTCTTTGATCACCTTCACCCTAGGTCAGTTATCTACAACAACCGTGTCATTGGGTATTATTTTTTTTTGCCTTCGCAGGGCATTGGCTGTTACATGTTCCGCATTGATGACTTTGATGTGGTGGATGCAACCATGCACGGTAACGCCGCAAGATTCATCAACCACTCCTGTGAGCCTAACTGCTACTCTCGAGTGATCAACGTGGAAGGCCGGAAGCATATCGTCATCTTTGCTCTTCGGAAGATCTACAGAGGGGAGGAGCTCACTTACGACTACAAGTTCCCCATTGAAGACGCCAGCAACAAACTCAACTGCAACTGTGGGGCCCGGCGATGTCGCCGTTTCCTCAACTGAGACATCCCTCGTATGTAAAGGAGAGGATCCTGTTTACTAGTAAGCCTTAAATTAAGGTGGCACTGGATTGGGCTTGGGGAGGCAGTGGGCAGTCCACACAGCAAGGGAATTAGCCACTATGAGACCAGTCAGGAATATTTGGTGGTTCAGAAGTGATACGTGGACATTTTATCGATTGGAATAGTATAAGAAGAGGACGAAGAGGAGAACCTGCACAGAAAATGCATTAACCTTTTGAGAAGTTTCTTGCCTGATATCTGTTCACACGTTACTGCCTGTGAAGAGTCCAGACAGCTGTTAATATTTTGGAGGAAGTGGTTTTGGTGGTCGTAATAACAGAACATTTGAACCGGATGTGTAAAATGTAGGGGGTTCCTGCATCAGTGTGGACGACACCAACAAAATTCCTTTGATACACACGTCAAGCCTTATCTGTTTGAATCATTGCTGAAAACCTATAGCTAGGCTTTGAGAGATTCCTTATGTTTTATTCATTTCTGCGGGGGGGGAGGATGTCTGTCTATATACACTTGTAATCATGATTGCTCCATCCTCCAGTGATGGGAACATTATAGCCCCATCTGTGTAGTGGTGAAGTCAGTTCTTGAGCCATACATTCACCGAAACCTTCATTTTGTGTGTTTTATCTTACATTTAACACTTCTCACATTGTTAATATTTCTTCTTTTTAGACATTTTTTTATTTGTGAATAACAACAACCATGGTGCTAAGCTTTGAAAGGTCTTTAAAGTCTTTAGTTTGGACTAAGGTGTCCTGCAAATCAGGAATTGTTTAGCTGTTCATTCACCCTGCTGAGACCATTTATCTTAAATTTATGCACTCGAGCAGTACTCTTCTCATCATTTTAATAGAAAGTGTCTGCTAAGTTAGGTCTGCTGTTTTCTACCCACACTCTTCCTCTGTTGAGTCTAAAATAGATTATTGCCATGCAACGGTTTCAGTCAGTAAAATTGTGTCATATTTATAAAGACAGCAACGTGTCTTTCTTCATGTACAGTGTATGTAGCAAACACTACCCAAGCCAAAAGTGAAGAGTTGTGGTGAATATCAGTTTTTTAAATATATATTTTATTACTCTCATGGCAGATGCTCATTACCTATTGCAATAAGACTTTGCTGCCCTACAGTTGCACATAACTAACCATCAAACATACAAATGATCTCCATCTTTGTAAAAACCTGCTACAGTTTCTCTTAATCAGGGAGAGCATCGGTATGAAGCATTGCCACTGAGTATGTGTGTGTGTATTCAGCTCCTGCGCCAGGCTTGAGACTTTCTAGATGTTGCTGTTGCAGAAAACGTTGAGAGAATGCAATCAGCACCTTAAAATAATGTTTAATGTTGTTCTTAGTCAATGTTCAGTGCTGTCATTGATAAGGCTAATCTGATTCACACACTGTTAAAATTGGTAGTTATATTTATTCGTGTTTTGATTCATAATTTTAAATGGTAAAAGGTTGTGCTTTGTACAAACGGTGGCGGTCTGGTGTATTAGGAGATCTCCACCATTTGCATTTTCTTTTCTTTCTGTTTTTCTTTCTTTTTTGTTTACGAATGATGTCCTTTGTTTCACTAATTTACTTGAATTTTCTTTTGGGGCAGTTGTCATGCATTTAAGCTGTTATGACAGAAATTGTTCTAAAGCAGGTATTTTTAAAGAATCATTCTTATTTTATTTTTTGTTATGGTAGATTACTGACGGTCTTAGAATCAGCCACAGGAGTAAAGTGAGCACTGTTTGCCTCCCCAAGCCCATGTTCATCTTTTTTTTTTCTTTTTTTTTTTTCTCCCAACCCTTTATTTCTTCAGGCTTATTAGAGCAAATTTCCATTGTGTTTTGTCTTGATCTTAATCCCCTTTTCCTTCTTGCATGTCCAATCACTGGGATGGAGCCCAGATTAACTTGTGTCAATCACCTAGCTGACAACAAGAGCAGAGTCACTCCCAACTCCTTGCAAGGATTCTACCTCAGCTGTTTACACAGATGTTTGGGAATACTGATGCAAAAAGAGAGGATGATAATTTAAGTGTAGGGTGGTTTTAATGTCCTGCAGAGCTTGTGTGTGTGTGTATGCGTGTGTGTGCGTATGTGTTTTTGTTGGTTTGTTTGGTGGGTGGGTCTGTCATTTTGTGTTTGTGTGTGTGTGTGTGTGTGGTGTGTGTGTGTGTGTGTGTGTGTGTGTTGGCAATGAAGGATACAAAGCACTAGTCAGAACCTTAAGTTATCATGACCATCTCTCCCAGAATCTGTTAAGAAAGCTGTATGTTATATATACACACATATATAT